CCCAGAGTGGTGGAAGGGAGGGGTCCGCCTGCTCCCAGCGGAGCGAATGAGATGTTGGCTTCACAAATGGTGTGTCTTATTAGAGTGGCATCTCACTGAGGTTTGAGGAGAAAAGATCTTTGAATGTTAAAACAAAGACGGTGATGATATGACGTCAAACACAAAAATTACTTGCATTTTAAACATAAAACAAGAACTTCAAAGAAATTTCAAGCTAGTGGCAGACTCCTGCAGCTTAATTGGCCACCTCAGGGCCACTCCCTACTCCCTTGTGCCTTGGGGATGAGTGTGAGGAGGAGGAGGAACAGTGCTGCTGAGCGTCCCGGCTGGGGCAGTTCCAGGATGTCCAGCCGAGGTTGCCTGGAGAGCACATGCTGGGGGTCTTGCAGGAAAGCGCTTGTCCGTCACCACTTCCCTGGCTGCTCTCTGGGTGCGGGCAGGCGGGTCTTAGTGAAGAGGCTGAAGTGAAGTGTCTAGGCTGAAGCTCTGACCGATCCTCACCCTACAGGTATTATCGAGGGACCCACGGGGTCATCGTGGTTTATGATGTCACCAGTGCTGAGTCCTTTGTCAACGTCAAGCGGTGGCTTCATGAAATCAACCAAAACTGTGATGACGTGTGCCGAATATTAGGTGAGGCTGGACCCTCTGGGGTGGGGACGGTGGCGTGGAGGGTGGCGGGGGGCGCCTCTGCTGGGCTGGGCTGACTTTGCTTTGCCTCGAAGTGGGGAATAAGAACGACGACCCTGAGCGGAAGGTGGTGGAAACGGAAGATGCCTACAAATTCGCAGGGCAGATGGGGATCCAGTTGTTTGAGACCAGCGCTAAGGAGAATGTTAACGTGGAAGAGGTGAGGCCTGGGCCGGGGGAGGGAGTGGGGCCCCACTCTGTCCTCCCCTCCCTGCTTCTAGCCCACCTAGAGTACCACGTGGCTGGCAGAAAACATCATAACTGCCACGTGTTAGGGCCTACTGTGTGCCTGCCGCACGCGTCACACTAGACACTTTACAGGTGTTGTTAGCGCATATCTCAGCAGGCCTCGGATGTAAGTTACTTCTACGTTTTATACAGGAAACTGAGGTTCCAAATTGAGGACTATCCCCCAACCTGTAAGAGGCCGAGCCCTACTCAGACTGGTCCCACGCCCTAGCCACACGTGGTTCCCACTCAGTCTTCTGCCTCGCCGCCCTCCCCAGCCCCACCACTGGTACCTCTTCCTGCTCTCAAGGCTTTCCTTAGGGCCTCGGCCTCCCCGCAGACACCTGGTTGCTTTCCTGGGGCCGCCAGGGTCGAGGTCAGCGCCTGCTGCGAGCCCCCAGAGGCTCCGGGGAACGCACATTCCCCACGGAGCAGCTGAGCTTCCGGCCGGAGCAGCTGAGCTTCTGCTAGGCCTGTTAGGAGAGCGGTGGGGAGTCTGTGTTACAGAAGTGGGACCCTGTGCCACAGGCACAGGCAGGCCGTGCTTGGAGCGTCGGGTGAGTCCCGCCCCACAGTGTGTGGGGTCTGGAGACCCAGGGACGCCACCATCCCTGCCGTATCCTGGACACTGACTGCACAGTGGCAGGGAGCCCGGGCGCTTTGGAGTCGGGGTTGGGATCATGGTACTGGGCCCTCTCTGCAGGGCCTCGTAGGTGACGTAACCTATCCGGGTTCTATCTGTCCCCTCCCCCCCCGCCCCCGGTTGTGAGGAGTAACTAAAGCAGATGATAAGTGCTTGGTACCTCTCCTGGCGGTGTGGAGGAGAGGACTGCGGGCGGGGTGGGGTTCCACTGGGTCCTGGCACTGCAAGGACATCTCGGCGTGGTCCGGGGAAGGTTCTAGGCCGGTGACACGGCATGGAGTGGGCAGGCCCTGGGTCCGTCTGGCCCGTCACCAGAGCAGGTGTCTTATCTGAAGATTCTAGCTGGAGAGGTTCTTTCTCTTTTTTTAAAAGAAAGACTAAGGCTGGAAAATCCCCGAGAATGACTTCCCGAGACAAGCTCACGAGGCTTTGATGTTGTTCCTTTTTGACCGTTAGCATTCACCGCCTCCTCCTAGGAAGGGTTTGAGGACGTACGTACACAGCAACCTCACGAGTAGAAATAGGAAGCCGGGCCCGGGAGGCGGCCCCGTGACGGGGGCCCCTCACCGGCTGTGAGGCCCACCCTGCCTCTTCCGTCCTCACAGATGTTCAACTGCATCACAGAGCTGGTCCTCCGAGCGAAGAAGGACAACTTAGCGAAACAGCAGCAGCAACAACAGAATGATGTGGTGAAGCTCACGAAGAACAGTAAACGAAAGAAACGCTGCTGCTAATGGCCCCCCCAGCCCACTGCAGAGACTGCGCTGCGGCCGCTCCCCAGCCCGAGGCCCACGGGGCTCCTCGGGGACAGTCTCCGTTTCGTGCCGTTATTTAAAGAATTCTCTCCATGTTTTTGTATTGGGAGGCGCCGTTGGCACTTCCTCCCCTCCCCCCTTGAGTGCCAAGAAGGTGTTGGACAAGCTGCCCTTCCCTTCTGGTGCCCTTGCCCCCTCCCCGGCCGAGGCACCTGGGCCTGGCGAGGACGCTGCCAGCCGAGCGGACTGATTAACCAGAGTTTGTACATAATGTATATTGCTTAACCAGCCGCGTCACCCTCGTCCTGCTCTGGCTTTTGCCTCCTTAATGCCAGCCTGCTGCAATAGACCCTCCCCTCCCCATACCATCTACCGCCAGCCGCTTCCTGAGGAGACAGGATCAAGTTCTAGCCACATCTTTTGCCAACCTGGGCTGGTGGAGCGGGCCTTCTGTGTTACTTGTTCTCGCCGATGGGCCGTTGGCTTCTGTCTTCGGCACGTAGGATCTCGCCTCTCTCCGGGGCCCGTGCCGAGTCTGTTCCCAGGCCGGCTCCCTTCCCTCCCCACCCCTGCCCCTGTAACCATCCTGGCAGGCGGCTGGGGCGAAGCCCGGCCTTGAGGTAGGCCTGGGGATTCCCATTAGAGGCCTAGCCTTTTGGTTTGCAGAAAGAGTTGCTCCTGCCTTTTGGTCACCAGGTTCCTTGTCCTGCCTTCTAGATGCCTCTGAATTACAAACCCAGGGTAGCCGTGACTTCCAGTTTTTACCAACCTGTTTCAGTTCCAACAGCAAGGTAGGGGTGTGTTTGTGCAGGGCTGGGGCTTGCAGAGGCGCTGAGGAGCATTATTTTAACAGATAAAATGAAGCCAAATCAAATGAATTAAGTTCCTTACACTTTCTCTTCCTGAGGTTTGGTTGGCACAGCAGCAAAAGTTGTGGCCTCCCCGCTTCGGGTCCAGTGTTTCTGGAAGAGTTGGATGGCTTCCTGTCGCCAGGGCTGGGCTCTCGGCAGAACGACTTTGCCTCCCTGGCTGTTTCTTGGGGGGAAGGAAGACGGTGCCTCCCACCCTGTCCGTGTCGGCCTAGGGCTTTCCACTGCCTTCCCGGGTCTCCGTGCTGTGGCACCAGGCGCTTCAGATCTGAGGAGCGGGTGCCGGGGGCTGCTGGACTGCGGGGACGCCGCCTCGGAGGTGGACGGCAGGCAGCCGTGGAGCAGACAGAACTGTCGTAATACAGAGGCGGCGTGAGGATTTCTTAGCGGGTGGGAAGGAATGGCAGCCGGGGCTGGGCGCCAGCCCGCTTTGATCCTGGTCCCCTGGAGGAAAACGCCAGGGTCATCTGCACTTGATTACTGTCCCCCGCGGGACACTTCATCATTCACCTTTCCCCGAAAGGATCACGTAACCTGGGAATAATTTATTTCAACACCATGATGTGTTTTGTTAGATTTCCTTTCCTAGGCGATTTTCCAGGCAAAGCCCTGACTGGACAATCATCACAGATCACACTGCAGATTTTCCATGTTAACACTGTCGATGGGTTTTTAATCAATAAAAACTGGGGGTTTCTTCTGACCTGTCCCTCTACTTCCCCAGACTGCCAAAAGCCTGTGGTTGCATGGCCAGGCCTTCGCTGGAGCCGCCTGCAGAGGTGGGGGAGCTCTGGGCCTGGGGGAGCGGTGCTGTGCAGCGCGGCCACCCCAAGTGACCGCGGGTCCTGTGGGGGGGGGGGGTGCCCATGTGACGTCAGTGTGGCGGTGCTTGCAAATTCAAGCAATAAGGGCAAGGGGTCCTGGATGTTTCCAGCCCAGGCTAGAAGACACTATGGCTCTGGCAACCGGCTGTCCAGACCCAGGTGGTGGGGTGATTTTGGTGACGACGGTGTGCCTGTCCCACTGAGTGTTACACGCATGAATGGGGGGGTGGGGGTGGGGGAGGGGGACTCACAGGGCTGGACCGACATCCTGGTGGACCTGATGTGAAATTCCTGTCAAACAACAAAACTTTTAAATGGTTTGCTAGGATTATTTCTGTATTGAAAGTTTCTAATTATGCTTTTTAAAAAAATACTAAAAATAAAGGTTCAAGCTGCCAAGTTTTCTTCCAGGTTCTATTTCCTCTCCTCCAGCTGTGCCCTGGGTGGGCCCGGCTTCTTCCCACCCACCGGACCCAGCTCGTGTGTTCTGGTCAGAGTCCGGCACAGGTGCCTTCTGAGGCCCAGGGATGCTTTCTCCACAAAAGGTTGGTCCAGGTTGAGCGCCCCCTCTGGTGTGCAGCACAGGCGGGCAGCGCACGGGGGACGACGTCCTGGGAAGCGCCGTGTTTGTTCTCCGCGCGCCCGGAAGGATGTGGCCGCGCTGTCTGGCTCAGAGTTTCTGCCCAGCTGCAGGGCCTGCTCGAGGCTCGAGGAGCCGTGCTGGCGGGGCCCGCCTGTAGCTGGGCAGCTGTAGCGCTGGCCGAGCGCCCGGGCGGGTGTGGAGGCGGTCCCCACAGAGCGGTCACGGACAGGATGCCCCTTCCGGGCCGGATCCGCTCACTGGGCACGCCAGGATGGGAGGTGAGCTCCCACGTGCGTGAGGGACTCACTAGTGCCCCCGTCACCACGGCCAGCTGGTGGTGCTTCTGAAATGTGAGCCGCGTTCCGAACGGACAAGCCCTCCAGGGACCCAATGACTGAGGCGGGAGGCTCTGTAGAAATTCATTTTATTCTTAGACTATTTTCAAAAGAAGCAGTGGTGCGCTGTTTTTCTAAAAATATGCCTTTATAGATTTATATAGAATATGTATATTATAAAATCCATACATGTATTTACAGGATTGCTACATACAAAATTACAGCACTGTGGTATGTACATATCTATAGGTACATTCTTTCCGCTCGTCCCTGCTGTGCTTTTCCCGTGTGAGGGAGGGAGATGATCCTTTGTAAAGCAGCTTGCGGGCTGACTCAGCCCGGGGTGCCTCTGAGTTAGGGCCTCAGCAGAGAAGGTGGAATGGCTGCCGAGGAAGGAGCAGAAGCAGCAGGTTGCAGGATTCATCCTCCCGCAGGCCTGGCGGGCAGTATCTGGAGGCAGGCGCCCTGTGGTGCCAGTGCTGCCCTTGAGGTGGAGGTGGCTGACCACAGACCCCTCTGGGGCCATTGTGTGGCCTGGACTCGCTTGGCTGAGCCGAGACCTTGTATGTGTGAGGGGAGCAGGGGGCCGTGGGAAGAGGATGAGACCCCCTCCTCGCTCTGGCCCCACGAAGGGGGCAAGGGCTGGATGGCTAAAGCCTGCAGAGGGCCCACGGGAACACTGGCTGGCCCGGAGGCCAGAGGGAGAACAGTGGCGGCCAGCGGGGCAGGGCCCTTCCTCCTGAGCTTGGGGTGGCATCAGCCGAGCCCCGGCAGAGCCCATTGAGACCGAGTGCGCGAGAGAAGATCCCCCCGCCGTCGGGCCCCGCAGGCCGGGCCTCCTGCCGCAGAGGTGCCCTGGGCAGAGGTGCATGCACGTGGGTGAGGAGCCGCCTCCCCCTTTACTCTCTGGGCCAGAGACTGGGGGGAGAGATGGAGGCTCAGCTGTGGGCCTGGTGTCCTGTAGGGACCAGGCCCCTGCAGCGCAGGCCAGCTGGGGGCCGCGACAGCCTCCTGAGGCATGCAGAGAACGGCCTCCATTCCTTCTGTTTCCCGTATTCCAAAATGGCGGCGGGGGTGGGGTGGGGGGGGACGCGCAGCAGTGCCTGGGGTTAGATGCGGGAGCCACTGAGGGGTGGGCGGGGCGGGCTGCGTGGGCTGCGATCCACTGGGTCGGAGTGGCAGAGCCCACCCAAGGGGCTGCTCTGGAGACAGCCCGAGCCCTGCTCAACAACCGTGGATCCGTGGGAAGCCCAGGCCGGGTGTGGCCTGGCAGTGGGGACAGGGCTTGCTGCCTGTCCCTCTGTCGAGGGCAGCCTTCAGAGGCCGAGTGGGCCCTCCTGGACGACTCGGCCCCGGTGTAGGTGGGCAGTGCAGCCGCTGAGCTGGCCCAGGGGAGCCCTCCTGTGCAAGCACCCCGTTTCAGTCACCTCTAGTCCAAGTCACCCGTCCTTGCTGGCCTGACTCCTCCCAACCTAAATTCTCCTGAAGAACGAGAAGAGCCGCTTGCCTTCGGCGGTGCTGGGCTCGTCCCCGCGCCCCGCGCCCCGGGCCCCGGGGAGGGTGGCAGCAGGCCGGCTCCGTTCCTTCAGGTGCGTGTCCATCAGCTGCCGGTCAATGACCCTGTGCATGTCGTCCTGCAGAGGGCAGAGCGAAGGGGCTGAGAAGGGCTCCCACCGGGTGCCCGGGGCGGGGGCGGGGGCCAAATGTCAGAAGGACGCGGGATGAGGATGAGGATGGGATGAGATGACTGAACGACTGCAGCCAGGTCACCTCGACCAAGAAAGCGGCAGATGTACACACAATGCCCGGACACACGGGAGCCACCGACACCTCAGCCTCCTCAGGGCCTGGGGCTTCTCCCTGCTGGCCTTGGCCGCTTGGCTGACCCCGCCACAAGCCCAGAGAAGGGCAGGCGCGGAGCCCCAGCCACTATCGCCCTGTCTCCACCCGGGCCTTGCCCGTGACTGGCCTCTGCCCTGCCTCTGCTCCCTTGGGGCTGGGGGGGCCTCTCCCCGGCACCCCACCCCAGACGCCCTTAGCACCATCTCTGCCTGCCAGCTCTCCAGTCCAAAGGGTCAGTCTCAGGGGGCTTCTCCTGCCCCCTTGCCCCCTTCAAGTTATACCAGCCCATACCACTGGTGCCCAGATGCCACTGGTGCCCCCGCACTCCCCGTGACAAGGACACAGGCTCCCCGGTGCCGCCTTCCTCACTAGCAACCCCATGCTGCAGCCCTCCGCTGGCATGGCTCCCGCCTGTGGCAGAGGCCACGGGGATCACGGTCTTCGCTGCCCACCCAGCTCCAGCTTAGGGCCGGATCTTTGGCTTCCTCACTGGGGCAGCACCCTTCCCCAGTTTGGTAAAGTTGCCTAGAAAATGTCCCCCTGACTTTGACCCCCTTACAGCACAGCATCTTTAATGCCACCCCCCCCCCGGGGCTTCTGGGCAGAGTGGCTCCACCCTCTCCATTCTAGCTGTTAGATTCCAATTATGCACAAGATTCCACTTGACCAAGGCATTCTGCCACCGACAAAGTATGAAAACTACTGGTTTAGCAACAAAACCGGCCCTGTCTAGTGAACATCAGCAGGAACATAACAAGCATCTGCCTGATTCCTTCACCCCTAAACCCTGTGGGTACTGGGATGCCCCCCGGGTGGGGGGGGGAGTCAGCGGGCCCGTGTCCTGCCTGAGCAGAGCATGGGGCGGTGAGGGCCCAGGCAGGAAGTGGGACTGGCGCCCCCCCCCAGCCTGTCCATCACCTCCTGCACTCACACCCACGCTGTCACCACGTGGTGTCACACTAACTTCTCAGCAGGTTTCCGTGTTAAACAAAGGGACTTCCCTGACCCCAGCCCCAGGTGGCAGCAAGGTGGATGTCCTGCCCCCTCCCTTGTCCACGTCTGGCTCTCCTCCTCCCTCTCCTCGTTCACACTCCACTTCCTCCAGTGCCCCTCCTCCTCACAGAACTAGGAGGTGTGCTCCCTGCCTCTGAAGACCCCATGCCAAATCCGGGGCCCAGTGCCCGGCACTTAGGACGCGCTCAGTAAGATCTGTAACGTACATTAGAAATGTTACAGGATCCTTTGGAAAGAAACTCTTTTAAGTGCCAATGCTTTTTCTTGCAATTGCAAACCGCATCTTTTATACTTTCAAATCCATCAGGGAAATGCCATGAAATGCATCGCTTTAGAACTACACATGCATGAACTGCTTATGATTCCAGCCCTGCCAGTACTTGTGTCGGCAAAGCAGCCCGTTTATGAGGAGGGAGCACGGAGAACCCGGGGCCGAGCCGGTCAGAAAGGGGCCGGCCGGGCGGTGGGCGCGGTGCCGGGAGGAGAGCTGCGGGGGACGGCATGGCACACAGCACACGGCACGGGATGACGCCGGACGCCGGCACACACAACACGGCGGGCCACACACAGGAAGGCGGCGGGACTGCGATGGCGGCGGGGCTGGGGTGTGTGGGATGGGGGCTCGATCTCACCTCGAAGGCAGGAGGGGTGTACAACTAAAGCTGTTGATACGGGAACTGAGAAAGGCCACTAGATCAGAAACCAAAGGAGCCAGATAGTAAAAAGCCCTGAGGAAGCAAACTGTAGCCGGGAGAGAAGAGAGAAGAACAGGGGCGGTAAGCCAGGGGCCGGCCAGCTGCTCGTGGGCGAGAGGCTGAGGGGCCGGGGGCATCTCTCTGGGGAGACGGGGTTGCCGTGCTCCCACAGCCGGCCCGGCAGGGCCCTCGGAGGAATCGTCACCGCCAACCCGTCCTCCAGCGGGGGGTCTTCATCGGTCTGGTCAGGGTTTCTTGGGGGAGAGACACGAATGGCTACACCCATATCCTGAAATCTACCACCCGAACCTCATTAACAAACAGCAAGCACAGTGCGGGCCCAGAGGGGAGCCGTGCTGGGGCGGGGGCGGAGCAGGACGGGACTCAGAACCCGGTGGCCCTGGAGACACACAAGGACTCATTTTCCCAGGGCTGTGTTCTCTGGCAAAAGGCAGCTGGCCGTTGAGAAAGGGAAGGGCAGCAGCTGCCGAACGACATCCAGCTGCGAAGTCCTGTTCCACCATATAGGGCTTCCTGGGCCCTCTGTGTTAACAGCTGTTTCTTTCCAGCTCATTTAAACAAAACCAGGACGACCAGCTGAAGGAAGCTCGCGCCCCTCCGCTCTGGAAGCGTCCTCAGGTGTTCCTCCCTGGGGACTCACCCACGCGCACAGGACCCTCTAGTAACAAACTCTCCTCAGGCGCTGCTTGGGTTCAAAGACACCCCCGCCCCCACCCCCAGAGCCCCGTCTTCCCTCACCCCGGGTCTCCTGGCTCTTTACCTGCCACGCCTCAAGCTGCTGGGAGAGGTTCAGTTTCTGCTGAATGGCGTCCAGCAACTGGCTGTTCAGAGACATCATGTCCATCTTGCACTTGGCGAGTTCCAGCTCCACAGCATTCTTCCTGAACACAGACAGGCCGGGTGAGCGCGGGCCCCTGGGTCCACAGGACCAGGAGACAGGCTCCGACCCTAAACTCGCAACAACTAGGAGCCGTGACAGTGACCAGGACGTCACTTGCAGAGAGCTGGAAAGTCCACAGCACAGGTTCACGGCCCTTTTGTCGACTGTTTTTAAAAACCTGTGGGTGAAGGGACCCCTGTCCCCCCACCTCACAGATGGAGAGCGGCTCTGAGAGGATACAGAGGACTGGCCCGGAGGTCCAAGGCCTCACACGGTACTAAGGAGGCTGGTCCCCATGAGAGGGAAGGACTTTGACCTCTTGGCCCCTCCTTTTCACTAGCAATGCCCGCCCCCGCCAAGGGATCTGTCCTAAAGATGCCACCTAGCTAATCATAGTCGCCACCAATTTGTGGACTGGTGGTAAATTATATGATGGAACAGAGTCGCCAGGAACCACCATGATGGTGAATATTCAAACTGTGAAAATACGATGTATGGCCGAGTGCAGACCCGCGCGGGACAAGGTCTGGCAGGGGACTAGCTTTGTGAGAGAAAACTGCCTGTGTGTAGTTAAAGGTCATCCGCAGAAATGTCTACTCGGCCATCTCTGGATGATGATCGTTGATGGGATCCCACATACTTTTGCTTTTCGTATTTTAATATTTTAATATGTTTCACATATTACTGTGTTTGTCTTTTCCAACATTCCTAAATCATAGTTGTTCGATGCAAAACAAAACTGAATTTTTTTCAGGGGTAGGGGAATGGGACTAAAAAGTATGAGACACTAACTAAACAGCTTCTGCCAAGGAGGCACGGGTCGCCCACCTGCCAAAATGGACATTATTTAGCCTCCATCATTAACTGCTATCTTGCATTCCAAACGTCAATGCAAAAATGCCTCCATGCACAGGGCCAGCGACCAAGGTGCATGTCCCAAGGACGGCTGGAGGACCCCGACTAGAGCGGTCGCCCAGCTCGGGTTCTCAGAACGGGGGGCTGCACCAAGCGAAGTGGCTGGGGGGCGGGGCAGGTAAGGTAAAGCACTCGGGGCCGCCACCGTGGCCGCCACCTCCCCTCCGGACACAAGTCCACCGACCGGGTCACCTCTCCTGACATCTCATGGCTGTAGAACGGCGCCCTGCCCTTCTTTCCCACGGAAGCCGGTCCAGTCGGCTCGCAAGACCGCGGTCCGCCCGCCGCACTGCGGCTGAGGGGCCAGAGGAGGCTGTCCAATGAGCGCCGGCGGCTCAGACGCCTCAGGCTTCCCTGTCACGACTGCTGCCATTGGCTGGCGGCGAACAGCGGAAGTCCTCGCGTGGCATAGGTTGCCATGGACGCCCGGCCAACCGCCCCCACAGTCGGGGACGTCAGAGCTAACCCCTCCTCCGGCGCCGGATACAGCTGCAGCCTCACGAGCGCCTGGGCGTCTGCCGGCAGGTGGCGCCACAAGAAGCCTAGAGATCCCAGAATGTGCGGACCAAGGCCTCCACGGGGCGGGGGAAACTTCCTTCCAGAAAACCCCCGAAACGAGAGCAGTCTTGCTGATCTCTGTATTCCAGCCTTGGACTGCACTCTAGAGGACGTGTGCTCACTAGAGAATCTTGGTGCTTATCCTTCATGAGAAACCCCAGACCAGGAGAGCTAAGCCGCAGAGGCGGCTGATTAACAGAATTATCAGAATTTTAAAAAGGAATGTCTGAAAAACGGCTAGAAGAATTCCTGATTTAAACGAAACGACTAGTAACCGACTCCTTTTTGTTTTTTGTGAGACAGGCTGCTAGCCCTAGATTTTTGTTGTTAGCGAGGGCCTTTTACCTGCAAAGAGAACTGTTACTTAACTTTTCTGAAACCCATCTACTCTGTGGGATAAAGAACACCTTAAGGTTTCTGTAGCCCAGTGAAGACAGGAAGTTCCTTTTCTTGGGGGTTCTCACTCCTGACTACACACTAGAATCACGGGGTGGGAGTTCGGGGATACTTTTAACAAGTAGCCCCAAACTAGGAGATTCAGACTGAAATATTCTGGAGAGGGCCCTGGCACCCGCTGTGTTCCTCAAATGATTCTAAAGTGGTCAAGATGGAGAATCAAAGATGATCTACATGAAAACAGCTTGTAAAACTCTTAAGGTCCTATACAAAGTGTGCTGCCCCCCCACATTTGAATGATTCCTTTAGGTCTGTTGTTGCAATTCTTTATATTGAGTTTAATTTCCAAGGGATAGAAAAAGAGCTATCCTACAGGAGTGATCTAACATCTTCCCTAAGGGCCAGCCATAGATTTAGGGCCCATGGAGGACAGGGGCCTCACTGCAGAGTTCTCCCCACCCAGTGAGGATAATCTGCAAATCAGCTTGGTCAGATGTCAGGAGGTTCCCTGGGCCTCCTTTGACAGAAGGTGAAGGCACGCATTTCAAGGTTTTATGGAGACTTGCTGGCCTCCTCAGTCATCCAGATGTCAGAGCTGGGTTCCACTTACTGAGGGAAGGGGACTGGACCACTCGGGTTCCGCCTTCTCTCCCGCGCCCTAGGACTTTCTCGGGTTGTGTCTCCCACCTCCCATGCTCATGGCAGAAAAGGGTCAGGGCTTGATGTTCAGCTCTCTTCTGCTTGTCCAGCTGAGAGAAGGTGACCAGCCATTCTCTATTTCTAACCTCATTCTGCCTTTTATTCCCAATAGAGGCTTCCACAATTAGCACCTTAATTTTACCATTTTATTTCCTAATTGTATGACACAATTTCACCCTTTGTTATTCATAAAAGTATGCTCCCACTCCTAATTATTACACTGCTATTCAAATACTCGCTAGTGAATTAAGTATTCAGCAGGAATATACTGGCAAAGATGCACAGGTTTGTCTGGGAGCCTTGTATACTTCCTAAATGGACTGGAAGTTGTCGAGCGGCTTGACATAAGGTCCTGGCCAGATAGAAAGGGGGTCCCAAGGTAAAACTAAGTAATGGAGCTGATGAAATTATTAAAGAGAACAGAAGGGAGGGAACAAATGTGTGTGAAAGGGGGAAGGTGTGAGGAAATGACAATTTTAAAGTCAGAAATTACCTTCTTTTTTTTAAAAAGGCATACAGTATCTACTTACATTTGTTTCAAATGAACTCCTTTTAGCTTCCTGACAAATAGCCTGGGTGGTAAGGGGCCAGAGTGTGGGGACAGGAGTCAGGAGGCCAGGGATCACCACTGGCTGTGGTCTTGGGGACAGTGTCTCAGTTTCCTCATCTGTAAAAACTGGGATTAAAAATGTCTACTTCATGCTGTGGCTGGGAGGGTTAAAGGACGGAGGTGTTTTGTAAACAGTAAAGTGACACAGAGGGCAAAATGTATGGCAAAGGGCCCCGCAAGTAGATATAGTTTTAGTATCTTTTATCTCTGTACACTCTGACATGGGTAGACTGAATGCATGATGACAAATCATTTAAAGGGGGATGGGGAATATGCAAATGTGTTCTTTTGCCTATGCACTTCCAAATCTTTTGAATGTAAGAGAATACATTCCTTCCCTGCTAAAGAAAACCCAAAACAGGATTAAAATATGACCAGTTTACTGGAAATGCCCTCTTAGGATGCATCGAACTCGGAATGTAGAAAAGCCCTAGGAGAAAAATGATAACATTTTTTTTTTAAGTGTGACAACTGTACTGTGGCTGTGTGTTTTACAGAAAGTCTTTTCTTTTGAGAGAGAGAGAGAGAGAGAGCGAGCGCATGTGCAAGAGCGAGCGCGAGCACACAGGCAGGGAAGGGGCAGAGGGAAAAGGAGAGAATCCCAATTAGGCCCCATGCCCACTGTGGAGACTGATGCAGGGCTCAATCTCACACTGTGAGATCATGACCTGAACCTAAATCCAGAGTCAGACACTCAACTGACTGAGCCACCCTGGGGCCCCAGAAAGTCTTTTTCTGGTGGAGATCTACACTGAAGTGTTTATGGATGAGATGTTAAGCTATCTTGTGATGTGCCTTCATACAGTCCAGCAGGGGGGTGGACAAAGTGGGTGGGGATATAGAGGAAACAGTACTGGCCATCTGCTGATTAGGGTTGAAACCAAAAGGCAGGAAGTTAGAGATTCATCTAACTTGCTTCTACTTTTGTGTATGCTTGAAAATGTCCATAATAAAAAGTAACAGTAAGACACCTTAAAGAAGTTGAGGTAAATATATATATAATGAAATGGAAAACTAAGATCTAAGTGGAAAAAAACCACAGCCATGGAGAGCATCAAGCCCATGGATACTTAAAAAAGCCCAAATCGCTGTATCGTTATACACCTGCACACAGACAGGAAAACACACACACCCAGCTTCCAACAGTAGTGTGTGCCTGGGGAGCAGAAAGACGCTGGGGGTGAGGGTGGGCAGCAGGGAAACACTCTCATTTTTGTATTCTTCTGTATGATTTAACTTTGAAAACTGAGCATATACTCCTGTTGCTTGTGATTCAAGTAAAATTAAACACACACGCCGACTCACTTTGCAATGGCCTCGTCCCGGTCCCTGATGGCCTTCTGAAGCTGCTCCTTTGGTTCCTTGTCCTCAGATGTCACTCTGAGTCGGTCTCTCTCTTCCTTCAGTGCAGTCATCTCCACACTCAGCAGTGTCACCTACCAGGAGACCAAAGGGATGGATGTGGTGACATCACTGCTGCTGGCCCGGCTGCTTCCCGCAAAGAGAAGAGAACAAGAAGCCCCAGGCAGGTGCAGAGCCTCTTTGTGGTGCGGGCTCGTAGCTTCCACGGCCCCTGGCTCTGAGGGAGGCCCATCTCTTCTGGAGAAAGGATGCCACGAGCTAGGCTGGAGCCCACTTGCCAGTGGCCGGAGGGGTGGGGGATGAAATTCGGGGCTGGACTGCAGCCATGGAGCCAGATCCCCTTTGTATGCAGCACACTACCGCCACTTCCATCGCAAGGCGCTCCCAGAGAACTCCTGAACCCCACACATGCAGCAGGGCTTGGAAACACATGTTTGGGGGTAGGGAGTCAAGTTTTGTGTCCAGGCATCTTGCACTCACCATGGAACACTGCTATCCACAGGGTCCTGGCTGGACCCAAAGCCCAGGGCCTGGCTCCCATTTCTGTGACAGCACTTGCTGCATGCAGCCTGGTCATTCAACTTCAGAGGTCAAAGCCACATGGAATTTAGACACCTATGTGGTGTCATCATCTTTCACTTTAAACCTGCTACCTTTTCTGTGGTCTATGCCTCAGTGAATGGCCCCATAGCCTATTCAGTGGGAGTCATGTTTTGGTGGTACCGTGCCCTTCCCAGTGGCTCGCTCAGTGAGCACAGGTTACCCACCAGAGCTCTGCAGTAGCAGGAAGCATGGCTCATCTGTGCATCTCAGAGCCTGTGCTCAATGTTCGATCCCAAACTGCTGTGCAGTGGACAGTTGTCATGTTTTTGGCTAATCATTCCAAATATTTTCCTATATGGGGGACGTTCCTGGTTGCAGGGGTCTTGGGCAGGGGATGTCCCCCAATAAGGAAGCCAAAAGAGAAGAGACCATCCATCCCTAGGTACACAGGCATGGATATGTGCATGACCTCGACTTGCCAGTCACCCCCCCCCCCAGCTGGGACTGCAGTCCTTGAGGGATCAGCAAAGCCAAGGGCCAGGGAGAAATTATTATGTGGACAGCAGATTGCTTCTGTGGCCCCACTTCCCATGGCTCCTTCCTGTTTTGGAGCTCAGTTCTCCAGCCTTCCTGTCAAGTCTGTAAGCTATCAGATTTAATTCTAATACAGTCTCTCTTTCTCTCTCTCTGCATAAACTGAGTGAGTTTCGTTGTCTGAAACCAGACACCCTGCTTGGTCGGACTTTCAGTAAATATTTGTTGAGTGAATGGAAGGGCGAGCCCCTTATTCCCAGTCAATAAGCTCAGACTGGAGTCAGGATGACTGGCCTTGCCCTCTTGTTAAATAGTACACGTACTTGGACATTTTTTAAAGCGAGGATCCATCCATACAGGTCTAGTGCTCCTACAAGGGGACAGATGCCACCTTACAGTGCACTCCCTACCCAAGTTCCAAGCCTAATCATCTTCCAACAGACTGAAATTGAGCAAAGGGCCAAGGAGCAAGGCTGAAGATCAAGCTTCCCTGGAGATGCTCTGGACTCCCAGACTGAGATTTGCCAGCTACCGGGGAAGAGGAAATCAGCCACTCAGGAGGAAATCAGAGGAGACTTGACAGTGAAAAGGCGTGCAGGACAATCTACTGTTGCTATGGGCAATTAATTTTGTACTCTAGGTGCCTGATGAGGAACATCAGGCCCAGGTGCTCCGGGCTTTCGTGGTGGGACACTTGTGGAGAGCAGGGCTAGAAGCCCTAGGGAAGAACAGGCTGGGGCACGTGCAGAGGCCATAGGTGCAGCTAGTCCACAGGCAGCTGGGCAGAAACCCAGCCTCACCCTACGTGCCAGCAGGTTCTGTGGCCTGGTAGGCCAGAAACTCAAGACTCGGGAAGTACCTGGCAGAGAGAGAGAGAGAGTGAGAGAGAGCGCGCGCGCGAGCGCCAGGCCTCCTCGGATCAAATAAATCCTAACATGGCCCTGGACTGGCTGTGAGCCAGACAAGGTTCTGCCAGCTGAGTAAGCTGCAGATAAAACTACATACTAGGCAGGAAATGCCAACATTTAATATGCTCCAGATAAAACTCCACAGGAACGATTTGCTTGGGTCTGGAAAACTTGGTCGAGGTAGAGACCATCAGCTATCATCTCAGAAATGACAAGGGACTTACCTTCTTTGAGTTGCCCACACTGTTCATAAAAAGCAGGAATAAGTAATTAGTTCCATCATCGGGTTGTTGTGAGGATCAAAAGAGATCAGTGACATCAGGGACCAAGCCCGGTGCCTGGCGGTAAGCTCTACTCCTTCCTCTTCTCTGCACCTGTGCAGACCGTCTTGCGGATGGTCGTCATGAGGACTGACCTGGCTTGTTTATACACTGACTTAGCTTATGGCCGCCCCTACATCTACTTTTCCCACAGAAAGTAGGTGTCCTCATGATTGAATGGGATCAAAGAAAACATCTTGAAGTCATATATCTAGGGCTTTATTTGCCCTCTCACTCAATAATTATCTGCTTTAGGAGAAAACAAAGAGAAGTGGGACCTCAAGCTTGTCCTCGTAGGGCTCTAAGGACTGACTGGGAAGATGAGCTGTGAGTGAGGAAACCATGAGAAAACAGGGCCGGGGGCCCCAGGAGGGAGAGAACCGAAACAGTTTGAGGGAGGAAGTGAGGCCTAAAGGCTGAGGAGGGCTGATATGTGCAGGTGGCAGGGAGAATCTTCTAGGCAGAGGCAAAGGGCCAGGGAAAAGGCCCAGACGTGGGAGAAGCACAGGGAGTATGTGCCATGCCGTCACAGCCCACGTCCAATTCTGCCAAAACAAAGGAGGGGATATGGAAACAACAGGAAAAAAGGCTTGATGGCCAGAATGCAGCCAGACCACGGGTGGCCGTGAGGGTTTAGAGGCTTGATGATAGGAAGTCAATCCAAAACGTAAGGGTATTTCATTTCAAGCTGTGCTTCAGGAAGATCAATCCAAATCCTGTGGAGGTAAATGGGCTGGGGGAAGTAAGACCAAAGCCAGGCTGTGAAACAGTGAAGGTCTGACACAGGGCAGTGGCTAGCAAGATGGAGGAGAGCGAACACAGGCAGAGTTCACAGAGGAGGGGTCACCAAGCTTTCCTTAGTGAAGGCCTTGTGTTCCCACTACATGCTCCGCTGTGTTTTCACACCCCTTCTGGAGTAACCGGCTGGCGCTCTGGTCAAGCCCTATGAAGGAGCCAAACACAGGACTGGGATGGTTTCTTACTGCACCTCCCGCAGCCCGGTTTACTGGCTTGAGGATCGGCAGAAGGGCTCCACAGATAACTGGTTTTATATTGCTCTCTGCTTCCCAGCAGCCGCTCCAGACCCCAGTCAGCCCTGGGGAAACATGAGCCGGAAAAGCTGTGGGGGTGGGGGTGAGGGTGGGAAAGGGACTCTCCGTGGCTCAAGGGAGTGGGGCAGTCCTCAGGTCTGGATATAGATTCTTGTCTCAAACACAATTATGAATTAAATTAAACCTGGACTCTCTTTTACTTAAAAATTGGATAGGCTTCTGAGGGGCAGGTCACTTGGTCTTCCAGGTCCCACACTTTTTACCTCTGGAGCCCAGTCTCCAGGGGGAAAAAGCATACTCTGGTAGGAATGCAGTGGGCTGGGAGGCTGGATCAGCCCCTGACTGAGGTCTCACCCTAGTCTAGGAGCCGCCTGCTGAAATTTTGATTTCATGTTGTTAGCCTGTCGGGGCTCTACCTCCCCACTGGGCCTGCCAAGGGTGCAGGGGCGTTACCCTGGTCATTCCGTGTTTGTCAGGGTCTAGTGCAGCACAGGCACACAGTCCGTGCTCAGTAGCTGCCCCACTAACTGCACGAGGAAGGCTGTGCCCGCTGTGCCAGCTACCATTTCTACTGGCATTCTGGAATCCAGCCTGCATCCCACCCACTGCCTCGGGAGGTCAGTGTTACTCCCGTGGGACGGCTTTGGGGGATGGGTGTAGTTAACTAAGAGATCTGCTGCTTTGACTAAGCTCCTGGGGAGAGATGAGCCACTGAAGGGGCCCAATTCTATACCCCATGGGACTGAGTGCACCTACCTGCTTGATGAGCTATCTGGCATAAACCACTCATCAGCTGAGCTTTTAATAAATGAAGTAGTGGAGGAGACAGGTTCTGAAATAGTTGCATCCAGACCCTCAGCAACCTGCACCTTGCTTTATGTTTCTAAATAATGCCCTCTGCTGTTTCTAGTTTTGTAATTCTGAGAAGCAACAAAACAAAAAAAAACCCAGCCAATCAATATCAAAGAGCTGATAAGCAGAACACCCCCCACAGAAATTTAAATAGGCTTTAAAGTAAACAAAACTTTTATTAACCGGAAGAATGTTCAGATCCACTTTATTCTGTCTGTATTCTTATGGTGTGAAGACCTGCGCTAAGTCTGAACTCCTCCCTGGCCAAATGACCGCCTGAGGGACTTCGGTTTTAGGCATGAGAATCTTTGGCTTCCAGTCCCATTCTTCAGGGCTTGGCCAGACATAAGCTATAGCTTTCAATAGCATCTTTCTGCCCTCGCTATCTGGTCACTCCCAGAAAGAAGAGTACAGCAATAGCTGTGGGTGGGTCTCCCAATATCTTCAAAGAGAATTATATTAGGAAGTCTAATGGGCATGCCCCCCAAAAAGAATTTATTTCTATAGGGTCCTTTAAATTTAAGAACTACCAACTGAAGCAAATGCCGGGTTTACCTTCCATCTCTCAGCAACCTGCTGCAGCAGGAACAGACGACCAGCTGTGGACAAGGGAGGAAGGGGGCAGGCTGGGTGGAAGCAGGGTTTAAAATACGACCTGTTTGGTGCCCCCCACAAGTGGAACAGCACACTGCACGTAACCCTGTCAAAAGGAAGAGCCTTATTTATTTCCTAGGATAGAATTTAGAAGCTCCTTTCTGGGTGGGGCTGCTCCTAAGCCCTTTAAAACTTTTCAGATGGGAATACAGATGCCCTTCTCCAGGATTCTCAAGAGATAAAGTCATGATCAAACAGGAAAGGAACAGCAAGAGCAGCAGTAAGTGCTTCTAAAGCTGGAAAACAGGCTGGCAGAGGTGATGGCATTACAAAGAGAGAACAGGCCTTCAAAGATCAATTGCTTCTTGGTTTGCAAACTTCCCTGCTCAGAAGCTGCTGGAAAAACATCCGTGAATGTCCTGAGAGCTGTGGCACTTTAAACTGTCAAAATCCAGCAGGTAATCTGGGCTCTCTGGAAGGCAGCATGTCGCTGGAGGATATGGAGGGTCAGCTATTCTTATCCCTCACAATTTTACTTTGGGCTAAACCAAAGGGCTGGTTTCTTCTCTTGAGCTCACCTCAACTTCAGGCCACTGTCCTCTGAGGATCTGTCAGAGCAGAGCCACTTCTCAGACGTGGGAGAGGGAAACTCAAGAGGGTCCCAACAGAGCCCGGGGGCAGGGGACTGGCACATTCCCTGCGCTGGACCGAGGATGGGGGTGCTCACCTGACTGTGGAGTTGCTGCAGCTCCTCTAGGCTTTGCCTCAGTTTACCCCTCTCTCCCTCCATGAGTTCCCTTAGGGCTCTCGAGTCCTCACTGGTCTGCCTTATCTGTTCTTCTAAGGAGTCATCATCAATTCTCCGGGAGCTCTGACAGCGAAAGAGAGCGCCACCAACCACACAGATGGTGAAGGCAGCGGCAGGTGGGGTGAGATGGTTAGTGGGAGAGAGGGTGAAGGGAGAGGGTAGGGATGGATCAATTTGGGGGAGAGCAAGATAGAGGAGATGGGGCGGAGAGGCAGAGAGAGAGGCAGGCAGAGAAAGAGGAGACAAAAGAGGGAAGACAGGATTAGAGGAGAGAGATTCTCTTGCCCAGTTTTGGTTTGCAAACATTAGATATTTATTTTTGTTCCAGGCTTCAGGGAAGGGAAGTCGCATGGCATGAACAGCACACTTCACTGACCTCTCCCTTCCCCCACAGTGACCCAGTCTCCACATACAGTACCTTCCACACACCAACATGACATGTCCAGGTAAGGACAACCATCCTTTCATAGGACTTCATGTAACATGGGCGGAAAGACCTAACTATTGTGTATGAGGATAGAACCGGAAGTGAGACAACTGCCTGAGAGCTGGTGGTGAGAGTGGAAATCTGTCACGAAGCTGGAGGAAATGCCAGTGTGCCCGGGAAGCCCACAGGAACACTCTCCTCTTCTCCACCAGAGGAGCCGCATCTGGAATTCTGAAGGCCCTTGCTCATCTTCTCAACATTCTGTGCTCCCTGTATCCGTTCAGCAGGGGCTTCCAGACTGGACAGTTCACCTATTCTCAGCTAACCCCATGGCAAGGACCAATGAGCTACGGTAAAGTAACTTGCAATTTTCACCAGAATCCAAATTTCTACATTCAGAGCTTCTAAGGAAAGCTCCTGAAGTTGAGGCCACAACAGCCTGGATTTAACCGTATGGAAAAAGGGCTCCACTTGTATGCGAGTGTCTGCAGGAAGAGGACTCTGGAATTTCCATTCCCGGACGTTCCTGTGTCCCATCACCAGCACACAGGGCTCTCAAACAGTAAGGGCTCAAAGTTCCTACAGCCTTTGTAAGGTTCCACTTCCGGGGTTAACCTCATTCCCTGTGCGGGCTTTCAGCCTCCCACTAGCCAGGTCCTGGGGGTGGGGGGTGGGGAGCTTCTCAGCCAAGACACTTACCGTGGGCTCCATGCCATCCACAATACTCTGTATCAGTCTCTTGAGCTCGCTGAGGGCCGTGCGCAAGCTGCCGGCTGGCACGTCCTTGGCAGACGAGGTTTCAGAAGACTCGTCCATCGAGGAGTCCGTGGATACGGCCGAGTCGGCGCTGTCATTCCCCCGGAGGTGTGAGCAGAGATAGCGGACCTGGCAGTAGGCTTCCCAGAGCTGCAGTCTCAGCTGCCCCATAGAGAATAGTTCCTGATTACGGGCTCTAGAGAGTACCGCCACCCGCTCGCCTCTTCCCAGAGAGGAATCTTTTCCTAGTGCAGGAACCCAACATGCTGACACTTAAGAGCCTAGTTCTAGCAGAAAGAGTTTTTCTTTTTGAAATCCCTTATCTCAAGAAATACAGGTACTCATCCTGGGCTCAGTACATCTGTATGGACTCCTAGTTCTTAACTCTCCAGCCCTCTACACACCTCCCATTTGTCATATATGCACTTCTCTCTACAGCTGAATACTGTGGTGGGAATCATGATTAGGGGAGTGAGTGGTTGTGAGGAGAGTGGAAAAAAAGCCAACTGGATGGATCGTGAATGTTCCAGAGCCCAGTCAGTGCAAGAGGGATGAGGCTGAGGATTAGCCGACAAGCGCTTCCTAAGAGGCACTGGGGCAACGGTGAGCGAGGGACATGCTCTGCCCAGGGCCTGCTTTGTGACAGCTCCAGCCAGCGGGCCTGGGCTCACACAGGCACAGGGCCACAGGCCCTTGCTGGCCTGGAGCTGGAGCCGTAGGAACTGGGCAACAAGGAGGGTGGACGGGCTCCGGAAGTCGCCGGGCAACCCCGCATGCGGGACGGACGGGACATCAGCACCTGCTCCCGCTCTTGCTCCAGCTCCTCGGCCTCCATGCTCTGCTCGATCTCGGACAGGAGGGACGTGCTGGTGGCGGCGGAGCTCTGCAGACTCCTCTCCTCGGTGAGCTCCTCCACCTTCACCTGCAGCTGTCGGTAGGAGAGCCGCACCTCCTGGAGCTCCAGCTGGCTCTGGTGCAGCTTTCAAAGAGACACAAATGGCAGTGAGGCTCCCCTAGACCACAAACAAGCAAGAGAAACTGCCGCCAAACCTGATCACGCTTCTAGGTCCAACCACCAATTTACAGAAAAATATGGGAGAGAGGAACATGTCAGATTACATCGGGGTGTGCAGGCAGTAAACTCCGGATTTGGGTAACTCTACAAGACCAACAGCTCAGCTTCTTTAAGCTGTAAGAGACTTAAGAAACATACCAACCAACCGCAGCATTAGGCCCATTTGAACTTGCATCCTGATTCAAGTAAAAAATTTGAGAAGCAATTAGGACATTTATGAGGTGGTTACGAACCTGGACACTGGCTATTTGATATTAAGAAAACACTGCTTCCCCCCCCTCCCCACTTAGGTATACTAATCCTGTGGCTATGTTTTTTTTTTAAGTTCTTATCATTTAGAGGTAGTCTTTGTTTATGGATGAAATTATAAAAATTTGGGGATTTACCTCAAAATAATGTGAGAGGGAAGCAGGTAGATGTACTGAATGTGGGGCAGGGCTGGCTGGAGCTCAGTGGTTTGCACAGCTGGCAATGGGGCACATGGGGCATCATCACACTACCTTATTTCTGAATGTCCAAAATTCTCCATATTAAAAAAAATTAAACACATACACACACAGAGACATACAAGTAAGGTACCATTAGACTCTCACCAGAATGACTAAAATAAAAACCCATAAAATAGTAATGATACCAAGTACTGATGAGGTCGTGAACAACCAGGACTCTCACTGCTGTTGGGAGTGAAGCTGTACAACTACTCTGGGAAACTGGCAATTTCTACTGAGTGAAATACACAGCTGTCCCATGACCCAGCCCTTCCACCTCTAGGTGCGGACCCAGCACAAATGGCTGTGTATGTGCCCAGAAGACAAATGGGATGTCCACAGCAGCATTCTTCCTTAAGAGACCCAAATGGGGGTGGGGTGCCTGGGTAGATCAGTTGGTTAAGCTTGGGATTCTGTGTCCTTCTCTCTGTGCCCCTGCACTGTTTGCTCTCTACCTCTTTGTCTTTTAAAAATAAATAAACATTTGAAAAAACTAAAATAATCTTTAAAGAGCCACAAATGAGGAAATAATCCAAATGCCAATATAGAATGGAGAGAGATAGTCACGTGCTGGAATACTACACAGCAGTGAAAAAAAGAACACACTGCCACTATATGCTATAACATGGATGAATTTCATAGACATGATATAATGTCAAGAAAAAGCCTGACATTAAACAACATATAATGTGTAATTCATGTATAAAAGTTCTGAAACTTCACTGAGATACAAGAGATGAAAGTGGAAGAGAGGTCTGTCTGCCTTTGAGGAAGTGTCAGAGTACTGACTGAGGGGGCGAGAGGGAGGCCTGTAGGGTACAGATAATGGGCTTTATCTTCATCGGGGAGGTGTTACATGGGTGTGTGTGTGTGTGTGTGTGTGTGTGTATGTACAGTTTTTAATGTTTTATTTATTTTTGACAGACGGCGCAAGCAGGGGAAGGGCAGAGAGAGAGAGGGAGACAGAGGGTCAGAAATGGGCTCTGTGCTGTCAGCAGTGAGCCCGATGTGGGGCTTGAACTCATGATCCATGAGATCATGACCTGAACCAGAGTTGGATGCTCAACTGACTGAGCCATGCAGGTGCTCCACGGGGGTATATATTTGTAAAAATTCACTGGGCTGTCCACTTAAGATCTCTACGCTTTGGTGTATGTATGATGTATTTTAATGAAAAAAAAAATGAAGGGGAAAGGGTTTGGAAAGACACTGTGGGTAGGATTTGGAATACATGTGAATAGAAATACCGAGAATCCCCAAAGCCAGGAGAGAAGTGGTCTCTGTTTTCTGTGTCACACCTCACAGTTTACAGGTAAAGCCCCAGGCCTGGGAAGGGCCTTACACAGCATAGAAAACTCAGAGAAGGAGAGGATGCCGGTGGTGGAGGGGACAGCAGGGTACTTTTTATGGCTTACAGACCAGGGCTCCTTCCTTCTCTCTTGCTGCCACTATCCACCCTTCTGGCCATTCTCTGTGGGCCCTTATTCGTGGAGCCCAAGCAGGGCACCGCTACCTGGCCAGGTTACTACTACCGAAGGGAAGACACGACTCCACCGCGGCTGCTGAATGCCATGCTCTACTAGTGCCTACGCCACTACACTTGCTTTTAACACACAGACCACACCTGCGGAATCTTCACATGTTCGCTAACCGCCACACACTTGTCCACGAATCACACCTGCGCAGGAGCAATGTCTCCTACTCTTGTATTTGTGGATTGCCCACCCCTCCCTTTTACAAGATTTTTTGGAAGTTGAGGATGGGAAAAGAACACCCTGGGGTTTAAATTTAATGAACTTATCTTTTCATAAGATAGAGTTTCTGGGGTCACCCCTGTTCACTAAAAATAGAGCACACACTGTCCTGTGTGTTGCAGACTGCGGGCCAGGTAGGCTTGTGGCACCTGCAGAGGTGCAGACGCTGAGCAGCAGGGGGTGACAACTCGGGGCTCTGCCTCACGAGCGTCCACGCCAATTTGTTAGGTGCCCTAGGGCTTCACCTCTGTTGGTCAGGAGCAGACGGTGGTTGGCTAATGGCACCAAGAATCTGGATGCACCTTCACTCAGAAAAGCCTGGTGCCTGGCTGCTCAGAGAGGGAAAAAGGCACTGGCGAGCCTGCTCTGCACGATTCCCAGGCATCAGCAATACCTGCTGGTCCAGTGGGAACTCTTCCAGCTCCAGTTATGAGAAAACTCAGAGAAGAAATTAGGGTTAAAAAAAAAAAAAAAAGAAAAAAAGAAAAAGGACATTCCTAAGAAGAATTTGGCACAATTACAAATGGCATACTAAGTTGGCAAAATGCTTTACAATTATTTTCTAGGTAATTCCACATACATCTCAGTAGGAGAAGTTCGGCACACACAAGTAGAAGTTCTCATGCACTGGACAAAATTAGTTCAATTACTCATGCGCACTTGAGAGTGCTTAATTAATTGTAACAGCAAGAGAATCAAAGATCAGGACAGGTCTGCCCTGTCTGGTCAATAATGGGTCCAGAAACATATGCAGAAAAAACAAATCAGAGGAGGCTTAGATATAAGAAACCTTTAAAACAAGGAATCTCATCCTTTATATAAGAAAGATGTCACTAAATATATTTAGATATATGTATCTCAACAAGGAAGACACCAAACGCCTTGCAGTGCAGCACACTAACTGAGCTTACAACACTCATGCCACCAGAGGTGGCAGAAGTGGGAGCACCCTCCCGCTTCACACTGAGGGAACTAAGATGGTATGATGCTAAGTGTCAGAGCAAGGTCTACACTGCAGGCCACCTGCTCCTGGGTCACTCCACAGGGAGTGGAGCCTACACTTTCTGATGATGAAATCCACCTGCTCACTGGGACAAGGCCCCTGCACACATCTGTAAGATGCCCATGGGGTTATAAATCAGAGGGGGACAGAATCCTCTACTGGGTATTATTAAGAGTTTAGCAAAATGCCTGATTTTTCAACTTCTTGGGTATTCAACAAATAATTTTTATCCCTATTTTCAGCCTGAAAAAAAAAATGAGAGTTGGATTTTATCAGTGGCTTAAAAATCATTGTTAGACAGTAGAACCCCAACTACATAGTGAACCAGATTAAAGAGGGGCTGCCCTGGCTGGGTAGGCCTGTTGCCCTGCCTACTCAACCTTCCTCTCATCCTTTATCTAAAACAAAGGATTAAAATCTGGAATTCTATACATTCCAAGGCCATCAAGTCTACATTTTGCAAGTTTGATTTAGGACCTCTCAACTACTATCTGAGTAAGCTGGAATTCTTATTTCTGCATTAGTACAGGCCACTTGAGCAACCAAAAGGGCTTTCTGGAAGACACTGGTAATTAGCAGCAGCCCAAGGAGAATCTCCTATGGGCTGAAGGAAAAGAATCACAAAAAGGTGGGAAAGATAAGAATTCAGCCCATAAAAGCAGATTTTTCCAAATCAAAGTGTGAACTGCCTGACTTGATGTAGGCCGTGGGGTGAGTGGCGCAATCAGATGACAGTGGGTGTGCAGATGGCAAGGATGTGAGTGTGTGTGACATGGGGCTCTTGCTGGAGAGCAAACAGCCCACTGTGTGAGCCAGGTACTGGATAGCGCACGCCAGTCCTACTCTTCCCCGTCCTGAGGTCCCCAATTCTTGATTTGAAATAACGGACTTCTCATCTGTGAATTCCAGCTAGACTGAATGAAAGTGTCTTTCAGGCAGGGGTCACTTCCCCATTCTTTTGTGTTTGCCTTCTCCACACTCTGCCCAGCAACCCTCCTCAGCAGAGTGCTTGATAGGGTCAGAAATTCTAGTGAGACACTGACCTGCAGAGGCAAGGAATGTGCTAGACACTGTCGATGAGAACCACATGAAGGAGGTGGGGGGTGGGGGGACTCTGTTTTTAATTCTACTAAGGATTTACTACACTACTTTGGTAACTGATTCACTTTTTCCTAAGCCTCCATTTTAGAATGTATGCAAAAGCACTGTGTTCCCTGTAAAGTGTGCAAATGTTCACCACTATCATCATCATCAACCTTAGAAGACAAGCAAACTCCTTTCTTTCCATCTTGAAAATGGCTCTAAGGCTTTTGCCAGCACCATTTCCTAATCAACATTTACAGAGGCCCTGCTATATGCAAAGTTCCAAGCTGAAGGTACAAAACCATGGAGGGTCAAAAACTGCTCATCTGCCCGTTAAGAGGTTAATCACTCAGACGGCGGCTTAGCTGATGGTGTCCGTGACAAGTGATATCAGCCTAAGATGCTTCCTTACCCCACGTCCTAGAGGATTCCTCCCCAGCCGAACACCGAGCCCAGCGGCGTCTGCCACAGCCTGGTCTTTGGGGAGGACCTGCCTGGTGCTCCAACACAGCCGGCCGGCCGCCTCTACACCAACAACCCCGTCACCATCTCCCCCAATCCCGGGCGCTCGGAGAATGTCCAAGGGGGAGGAACATGCTCTCAGCCACTGGCCCCAGGTGCTCCTAGGCCAGTGTGGCAAAAGCTTTGCAGCAGGTGTTATGCTCTATTTCTGTGGAGACCAGGAGCAATTGTCTTTTTATTTAGGGGGTTGGCAAGTGTGAGCCTGGGGATTTAGCTTAGGACTGGTGGCAGGTCCCAAATAAGGACAAAATGAACATGAAGCAATTTCCTTTAGGAAGAAAAAAGAGGCCAATTACGCTCACAAAGGGGTCGGCCTATGCTTTTTCTAGCAACTGTTAGAAGCAGGATGTAAGTCTTGCTGTGTTCAGTGGGCAGCTTCTTGATTTCCGCTCAGTGCAAGCCAACTGAATGCATCAGCCTGGGAAAGCAGCAGCAGAGAGCATTGAGAGCCAAGGACAGAAAGTCACAGGCTCCCTCTGAAATCTCTAGCAGATTTCACAAACCCTAGGAGGCAGAATGACACTCCCCATGTTCCAGTCATGTTAATAGCCCAGAAAGAACTCTCTGAAACTGCTCCAGGGGCCAGTGGCTCAGAACAAATTGGAAGGATAGCCTGTGGGTAGCGATGCATTTGTTTTCAGCAGAGCCAGACTGGCCAAGTTGGTGAGCGCCCAAGGAGAACTCCAACAGGGCCCACAGAGAGAGCTCGGCTTTCCCCTCTCCTGACCCGACAGTGGCCTGGCCTCCCAGCTTTCCTTCTGGCTGGGCAGCGAAATGCCCCTTTGGCCTGGCCCTAGCTCTACAGGACAGTTTCTCCGCCTCAGTACCTGGAGGTCTTTGTCATGGCCTTGCCTCTCCAGGGTCAGCACCCGGTCCTGTAGCTCCTCCACAGTGCCCTGGAGCAGGTCGTTTTCCTCTAAGGTGGCACTGAGACGATGCTCTAGCTCCCGTTTCCGATCTGACAGCATTTTGATCTGAAAGGGCGGAGACAGTCAGTTACACCCAGGCTGATGAGTAGGCAGGGAGGAACTAGGTCCAAACACGAAGGCCTGTGTCTCCCCACGTGCTCTGCCCAGGGGCCCAGTGCCCCCATCTTTGAGAGAACAGCTGTGAGCTCCCAAGATGAAGAGAAAGCCCCTCCCTTCTAGAAACCTGTCTGGGAAGAGGTGGGAGATGAACTTTGGGGAAGCTGGAATGTGGGATGCCAGGCAGAGGAAGGGAAGGGTCAGTGTTCTGGAAATTCCACAGATAAGACAGAGAAGGACTCCACCTTGCCTGCCCATGACTTTACCTCAACCCCACAATTTCTGGGGGAGTGAAGCCTAACCCACGGTTCCATTCTTCCTTCTCAAGTCATGAGCACAAGAAAATGCCTGAGACAGCCTCGTGAGCTGCTGTATTCTCATACTCCATGGCTCTCTTCTGTACTTTTCCCCCACTGCTAACAGGTCTGGTTCTAGAGGTTGCAGCTCAGACCTGGTGCCCCAAGTTAATGGGGGAGTTGACGGGGTACAGAAGGCAAAGCAGTGCCTGCATCAGCCCGTGTCCTGGGAAGAACAGGACGTGACACAAGCGAGTAACTGATTTTACTCAAAGTGTCATTTTGCCTGAGCAGGTAAATTGTGAATAGAAGCAATTTCGCTTCTTTTATTAAACAGACTGGTATGTTTGTACATTGCGTCTCTAGCCAGCCTCGAGAGATATAAATCTTCTTTTAGGAAGGTCTGTCTAGTCTCTTCAATGTCAGTAAGAAAACAAAGGATAAGAGGAAAGCGATGCCAAGTCTTCAGGCCTCCAGGTGTGTAGGCTCTGGAGGCGTGCCAGCGCTCCACCAGGCCCGCGATGCTTCACCGAGAACACTGCCCTGCTAAGGGGCCATGGAAGCCTTCCAAGTTGTGCAGAGCCTCCTATTTATCAGTTCCCCGCTGGACTGATCTCTCAACCAGCTTCTTGTTCCCAACATGGTCAAGATGTTCTCCGTGCTCTCCAGTTTGGCCTGGAGAAGAATCCATCAAGAGGACCAACATCCTACCCTTTCCTGGAGAGATTTTGAAATGAATGTCTAATGAATGTGTCTGAGGTTCTCTGAAATCCACCTTTCCTTCTGCTTTTTGTCTGTTCTCTCTCTCCACACCAGAATTCTGTTCGGAGGGCACAGATCTTTCCTGGCCACCAATCAATCAGATAGGATGGTGTCCTGGGGAAATGAAGTATGTGGCCTTTGTCTAGAGAGATCAGGTATCTGGCTAAACAAAGAAATACTGTCTCTCAAGTGTGCACCTGGATAAGGGACCAAAAGGAAGAGGTCCTTTTTGTGAATGGGGCCACTATTCCCCACATCGAAGCACGTTACCCATGTGAAGGGAATTCTTACTCTAGTTGATTTTCATATAAATACCCTCCAACCTTTACATTTTCCTTCCATGGATAATCTTTGTTTCTCAAGTTCCAGTCAGTGAAATAACGAGGTAATAGAGTTCTGATATATAATCCTGGCCCTTTAAAAAAAACTTTAGAAGTTCTGAACTACATGAAGTAATGTACTTGAACACTTTCATAGGTTGGCTTTTGAAAGTAGCAGTGTTAATGGATGAAGGCATCAACATTAGATGGCAACTCCCTCACCCCACCCTGTGCACCATTAAACCTGTGACCAAATCTGCCAGTTAGCATTCCTGGGAATGACCCTGAGTCACAAGGGTCTTGAAATAGTGAGCAGAGGGCAGAGGAAAACAGGCAGCTCGAAGGAGTCAGAGCTTTGGCAAAGGCAGTGGAACAGCAAGTCATGCACACAAGTGGTGACACACAGGCATGCCAAACCCCACCGGAACGAACTACTTACTTCGAGAACCTGCTGCTCAATACCAGTAGTATTTCCAGGGGGAGGGAGAAAGGAAGGGAAGGACAGGCAGGAGAAAAGAGAAGATATTGACATACTTTAGGAAAAACATCTTCAGGTCATTTCCAAAGCGGGGGAACAGCCACCTGGGCTTCTCTGGGCCCGACCATGTCGACGGATTCCTCACAGTGGGGGTGTGCATTCATCTGGCTCTGGACCCCGAGACTGTCCCCTCAGGTGTAACTTAGCCAAAGGGCTGCTGTCCAGACAACTGGCTTAGGGGCCCTCAAGGTCAGATTAGGTGGATGCCTCCCTGGGGAAGAGCACCTATTTGGGCTGCTGATATGACTCCCCTCTACTCCCCTCCCACAACCGGGTTCTCACAGAGTTGTCCCCTAAGTGCTACTTTTTCTTTCCCTCTGGCTCACTCAGGGCCATAGACCCTGACTGCCATGCTCCGGCCTCTCATACACTTTTAACAACACTACTCTGTTCTAAGTACCACACGAGGGGCTTTCCGTGTATTAACTCATCAAACACAACAGCCCTATGAAGTAGCTACTTGTATGACTCTCATGTTATAGGTCAGAATCACAGTAAGTGCATTAAGGTGCACTGAACTGGACCTACACAGAATGGAGAAAGGGAAAATCCTCTTTCCCATCTTCTATTGAGGACTGGCAAGGATGTTTTCGGACGGATCAACATATTCAGTAAAAGCGGGTCATTTGTGATTTCCACACACTCAGCAGTAACTCTGAGCAATCTTATTCTTCCAGATAACAGGCAACATGAATCGAGTGCTCCCCATTTAGTTTCTTCCAGATACATCTCTAGAGATTTTTAAATTATTTTTTTAGAGACTGCAGACAGAGGAGGGTTTTGTTTCCCAGTTCAGGGGCTTCTTACCTACGAGACCCAGTGCGGCACATGTCTAACGAGAAAAGCAAGGCCACACGGGTGGACTCACCTCAGCCTGTAGGCTTTCAAGCCTGATGATGTGCTGGTTGGTCGAGGAGTTTTTCTCCCGAAAGTCTTCTCTGAGGGCATGGACTTGCATGGAGAGTTGTCTCTCAACTTCTGAGGCCTGCAAGCAGAAGAGACCTTCAGGGAGGATTCGGAGGCTGTGCAAAGGAAGTCTGGTAAGATCTCAGCCGTTCCTTTCCCAAGCATGCCTTTACAGCTTCCTACTCTAGAAGGCGCAGAGGATGCAATGCTGGTCCGTGTGGTCCCTCGCGCCCAAACAAGACAAACATCCATCTCTACTTCCACCACGGAGGAGTTTATCTTGGTAAAGACCACTTTGCTGGTCAGGGGAAATAGGCCTAAGAAACAGTAGGCTCTCAAATGTTAGGTATCATCATCATTACTCGGTACACAACAGATGCTCGGCAAACATCTACTAAATTGAGAAAAAGTCTCTATTTTACATTCAAGAGTAAGGCAGATATACCTACTACCTTAGAAATTCCTTTATTTCTCTCATCCATTTCCTCAGCAGGGCCCGAGTGAATCATCTCTGTCTATATTTCTCGCTTCCACGCAACATAGGCACTATTCAAAGTTCCCTGTCACATCTGTTAAGATTTTTTTTAAAGACTTTATTTTTAAGTAATTTCTACACCCAACGTGGCGCTCAAACCCACAACCCTGACATCAAGAGCTGCATTCTCCACTGAGCCAGCCAAGCACCCCACTATCTGTTAAGATTTTTGCCATTCCTTCCTCAAGGACACCTTTGGCAACTTTTTAAAAAAGTTTACTTATTTTGAGAGAGAGAGAAAGAGCATGAGTTGGGGGGGCGGGGCAGAGAGAGGAGGAGAAAGAGAGAATCCCAAGCAGGCTCCACACTGCAAGCGCAGAGCTCCACAACGGGCTTGAATTCATAAACCATAAGATCATGACCTGAGCCAAAATCAGATGCTTAACCAACGGAGTCACCCAGGCATCCCCTTCTTTTGCAACTTTTAATTCTCTGGAGGAGTGTTGGCTGAGGCACTTACTTCCCACCCTAATCCACTTATTTTCTTTTAAAAAATTTTTTTTAATGTTTTATTTATTTCTGAGAGAGAGAGAGAGAAAGAGAGAGAGACAGCATGAGCAGGGAAGGTCAGAGAGAGAGGGAGACACAGAATCTGAAGCAAACTCCAGGCTCTGAGCTGGCTGTCAGCACAGAGCCTGACGCGGGGCTTGAACCCACGAACCGTGAGATCATGACCTGAGCCGAAGTCGGATGCTTAACCAACTGAGCCACCCAGGCGCCCCAATCCACTTATTTTCTAACGCTCAAACACAGGAGAACACCAACAACATTTACTGTGTCAGCACCTTCTCCTGAACATGCAGGAAGAATATTTTGAAAGAAAGCTCACTTGATAAGATGAACTCTGGTCTTTCTCCTGAAGAGTGCAGCCTAGCTCCCTGTGAGGAGAGCCCTGAACACTGCCCAGTAGAGAGAAGAGCCATTGGACAGGTTAAATAACTGCCTCTGTGCCTTTCTGAGGCCAAATGGGGTCAGTAGGCTTCATGAGTTCTTGGGAGAGATCACCGTGTGCTGACATGGTTAGGAAAGGCTCTGGAGGAGGTGGGATGGTAATAATGCTGACATGGTAGGCTGGGTGTTCAGCGAGGCTCTCACATTAACAGATACATGTTCAATAGTTGTTTTTATTTTCAAGGGCAGTATAAGCAATTGTCCATCTTTGTTTTGGTCCCATAGATTCAACTATTGCTCCCTTGGACTAGAGAGCCATATAAGGATCTCAGCCTATAGTTCTAATTTAAAAAAATTTTTTTTTTTAATCTTTACTTATTTTTGAGAGACAGAGAGAGAGAGAGAGAGAGAGAGAGAGAGACAGACAGAGTGTGAACAGGGGAGAAACAGACAGAGGGAAACACAGAATCCAAAGTAGGCTACAAGCCCTGGGCTGTCAGCACAGAGCCCAACGTGGAGCCTGAACTCACGAACCATGAAATCGTGACCTGAGACAAAGTTGGACACTTAACCGACTGAGCCACCCAGGCGTCCCTAATTTTTAAACAATTATAAAACACACAACAAACTAAAATCAAACCATCTCGTTTTCCTTATTCTGAATTTAATTTCAGACACCACCAGCTTGTTTTAGTTTCTTAATCACTTAGAACACAGTGTTAGACATCCTTAATTAAAATTAACATCAGTAATATGTGCTCAGTAATTACAATGTGCCAAGAACTGTGCTAAATGCTTTAAATGCATTATCTCAATTGTCATAACCAAAGTAGTGCCTGTCAGGCTCTATTTACTAATGAGGGAAGAGACTCAGGGAAATGAAAGAACTTGCCAACCTCTCAGTAAGTGACAACACCAGAATGGTCAATTTGGGGCTGTCTTGTCTCCAGATGAGGACTGTGATGCAAGCACACTCTGTCTTGCTGCACTTCACCTCACTTCACTTCACTGCACACACTGTGCTCTTCACAAATTGGAGGTTTGGGTCAACCTGCATTGAGCAAGTCTACCAGTGCCATTCTGCCAACAACATTTGTTTACTTCCTGTCTCGTGTGTTACATTTTGATAATTCTTGATGTATTTCAAACTTTTTCAATATTACTTTATTTGCCATGGTAATCTGTGATCAGTGATCCTAGAAGTTACTATGGTAACTGAGGTGCCATGAAACATCCATTTGAGAGGGCAAACTTAATAAGTGTTGAATGTGTTCTGATTGCCCCACTGATGGCCATTCCCCATCTCTCTCCCTCTCCTCAGGCTTCCCTATTCCCAGAGATACAACTATATTGACATTAAGTCAGTTAATAACCCTACAGTGGCCTCTAAGTGTTCAAGTAAAAGGAAGAGTTGCACATCTCTCACTTTAAATCAAAAGCTAGAAAAGATTAAGCTTAGTGAGGAAGCCACATCAAAAGCTGAAGGAGGCCAAAAACTAGCCCTCTTGCGCCAGCCATTAGCCAAGTGGTGGACGCGAAGGAAGAGGTCTTGAAGGAAATGACAAGTGCTACTCCAGTGAATACATGAATGGTAAGGAAAGAAACAGCCTTATTGCTGATCTGGAGAAAGTTCCAGCGGTCTGGAAGGGAGATCAAACCTTGCACAACACTCCCTTAATTAAGCCAAAACCTAATCCAGAGCAAGGCCCAAACTGTCTTCAATTCCGTGAAGGCTGACAGAGGTGAGGAAGCTGTAGAAGAAACGTGTGAAGTTAGCAGAGCTTGGTTCACGAGGTTTAAGGAAAGAAGCCGTCTCCATAACACAAAAGTGCAGGGTGAGGCAGCAGGGGCTCATGTAGAAGCTGCAGCAGGTTATCCAGAAGATCTCACTCAGCTCAGATCATTCGTGAAGGTGGCCACACCAAACAGCAGATGTTCAGTGCAGATGGAAGCATCTACTATCTGGGGAAGATGCCATGTAGGACCCTGGTAGCTGGAGAAGAGAAGTCAGTGCCTGACCTCAAAGCTTCGAGGGACAGGCTGACTCTCTTGTTAGGGGCTAGTGCAGCTGGTGTCTTTCAGTGGAAGACACCATTTACCTTTCTGAAAATCTGAGGGTCCCTAAGAATTACGCTAAATCTACTCTGCTTGTGCTCTGTAAATGGAACAATGCCTGGATGGCAGCACATCTGTTTACAACCTGGTTTGCTGAACATCTTAAGCCAGCTGTGGAGACCCTGCTCAGAAAAAAAAGATCCCTTTCAAAATGTTACTGCTCACTGGCGGCGCACCTGGTCCCCAAGCTCTGATGGCGTGGGGCACAATGAGATTAACGCTGTTCTCATGTCTGCCAACACAACGTCCATTCTGCAGCCCGGGCACCAAGGAGTAATTTCAACTTTCAGGTCTTATTATTGAAGAAATATACCTGAAAGGGTGGAGAGCTGCCACAGACAGTGAGTCCTCTGATGGATCTGGGCCAAGCCCATTGGAAACCTTCTGAAAAGGGCTCACCATTTAGAGAACATTCCTGATTCACAGACAGGTCAAGATAGTGACATTGACAGGAGTATGGAAGAAGTGGACTCCATCCCTCATGGAGTGGAGAGTTCTAGACCCTGGAGACAGGGGATGAGCTGGGATTGGAAGTAGAGCCTGAAGATGGGACTGAATTGCTAAAACTCCTGATAAATTTGAACAGAGGAGGAGTTGCTTCTCATGGATGAACAAAGAGTGGATCCTGGAAACGGAATCTGCTCCTGATGAAGATGCCATGAAGACAGCTGACATGACAACGAAGCATTCAGAACATTTTGTATACTTCGGTGAGAAAGCAGTGTCAGGGTGTGAGAGGACAGACTCCAATTTTGAAAGAGGTTCCACTGTGGCTAAAATGCTATCAAACACCATCGCCTGCTACAGAGAAATCATTTGTGAGAGGGAGAGTCTCGATATGGCACACGATATGTTGTCTTAAGAACCTGCCACAGCCACTCTGCCTTCAGTGCCCCCCACCCCGATCAGTCAGCAGCCATCACCATCGAGGCAAGACCCTCCACCAGCAAAAAGATGACTTGCCAAAAGCTCGGATGATGGTTTACATTTTCAGTTTTGGGTTTTTAAACTGAGATATTTAAGTTTTTTAAGACATAATGTGATAGCACACTTAATACACTACAGTGTAGTGTAAACAGAACTTTTATATGTACTGGAAAGCCAAAAATTTCATTTGGCTGGCTTTGTTGCGATATTTGCTTGTCATGGCCTGGAAATGAACTGGCAGGATCTCTGAGGTGTGCCTGTACTGTTTTTTTGTAGATTGAAATAGTTTTTCTTTTTCTTTTTTTTTTATGTCCCGCTATTAAAACCAAACCTTTACGAGTCCAAGTTAGCAAGATTTTTCTTTCTTTCTTCTTTTTTCTTTCCTTCTTCTCTAATGCTAAGAAATTTTAAGACTCTCTAAATTTCTCCTAATGGAATTTAGGGCTCATAAGGAAAACTCCGTCTAATAAATGCTGCAGTTTGAATACTTGTACTGAATTCAGTTGATGATAAAGATTTCAAATATGTTTAGATTTGCAAAAAGCACTGGGCAATTCAGGCAGCTGACCTGATTCTGAGTATCATCAGCTTGACATGAATCATGAGGCAAC